ATGAAGGCATAGTTTATGGCAATCCAATTATTTGGTTCGTTAATGTGGCAACATTGTAGTTGAGAATAATTCGTGGTCGAGTGTGTTAATGTGTGTAATCTCTCCGTCAAAGCAAATGAAAGCACCTACACCTGCGTAGTTTGCTCCCTTAGTCGGCTCTTACGACACTCACGGGATGAATAGGGGTGGCGACATTCCGTATTCTTAATCCGTCACCACACCACTAAATACAGATAATATTAATATATGTATTATATGTATGTATTTACAAAAAAAGTATATAAGTATTCTGTTAGTCAATCTAGCTTTTATAGTACAAGCTGCTGTCAGATTTAAGAAAATATTCTTATTATTTATATAACATTCACAAAGGCCACATACTTTTTATCCTTTTTAATAATAATAAATAATTCTCTTTAAATTAATAAACAAAACTCTTTAATTTTTTTGCACATTTTCATTCTAAATTATTATCCTTTTATGATATGCATATAAATATGGAGGCTCTACACACAACTCCAGATTAAACTAGATAATTTCATATTTTCGTTTTGTATATCAATATGTATATTCAGTGTCAAAGTCTAATTTAAGCCATTAACAACGCATACAAATAAACAGACGTCTCCACTTCTCTATGTCTTGCTCTGATTCAAGTCCCGCTCAAGTGCGATTGTTCCTCTACGGATTGTCTGGACCAATACTCCGAGCCAATATTTGCGCAAGCCAGCAAATAGCGTCGGCTAAATTAAAACGATTTTCTTCCATAGCAGTCGGCTGAATCGTAATGTATTGTTTTTGCCGATCTTACCTGGATTGTGACGTTCGATTATTTGGTGAATTGCTTTTTGTATTAACAGAATTGGATGGGGCACGTAACTATATTTTGTGTAATACCTATCACAAATCAAATCTTACAAGTACCTAAAACGTTAAGATATTGTGACTAAATAAATCGTTCTCTGCAGTCGCTATTTGTTTGTAAAATCACATTTTGTTATAATAATCTATATATTAGAAATTACATCACAAGATAAATAATTTACTGTTTCTCAAAAGAAATTTGGACAAACGATTAGAGGGTTCGGACGCCCGGCAACAGTCAGCTTAGATGTCAAGTTGTTACGTGAAGGTTAGTTGTCACGTTCCAGGTCATTGTCAATTGGGAAAGCTAATTGACCCAAAGCAATAATACAAAATTGCTTACAATTTTATAATACATTTTAGAAAAACAACTACCGGGGGGCGGGCTTCTGGAGGCTTCGTGTCTAGCTCCGACCGTTAATAGGCAGGACAATTAACTAAGGTGTTGGAGCCTGAGAGAACGTGTCGCTGTGTCCTCTATCCTTATATAGGCGTGGAGGTGATACGTGTGTAGTGGCGGAAGCTGAGACCACGTCACAAGGTAGGCGACCCTGACATACTGGAGCTTACACTCAATGATCCAATCATATAAGCAATATCTCCTTGCTACCATAGTCTTCTATCTTAGCAAATTTTCCTTTCATACTGAACTTCAAATTTTCCATCTAATCCCTAAGTGCCCAATTGATGGCCCTAGGCTTGGCCCCTACTATATAAATGGGATTAAAATTAAACTCGGCTTAATTTCGGCGTTGAACACACCTCTACTTACACCCTCAGGGAAATAAGCGTGAGTGCATGTATGTATGTACTAATAATCACCTTACACTAAATTATCTGTTATATCGAAATAAATTGGAATATCGTAATTAAGTCACAAATTGTTTACGTCTAAATTACGAGCCAGTAGCGTAATAGCTGCGGTCGGATCTTGCTATCAAGTGCTTCTTTGGCTTTTAACAAGAATATTAATTATATGCGAATTACCCAGCCAAGGTCGTAGTAATCTTAAATATATGTACACAAACTAAACAACTAGTCAAATATTTAAATGTAGGTAATACTATAATACCTCTATATTGCAGGTTTACGATGGTGTTTATGATAAAACTATTATTTCAAGTAAAAAAACTTGATCAAGAATCAAATAAAATTACCGTTAAACATTTTCTACCAACATCAGAGATTTCGTTAGCCATCCAAATAAAAAATTTACCTCGGCAATTCTCTCTGGCCCTGTTAACTAACTAGCCAAAAAAGCTACAAAGCTTTTGGCAAATAAGTGTTCTCATTTTGAAAAAAAAAACTTTTTAATTTATTTTGGAATCGACTGGATTTATCCGAGACTATTGGTTACGTGTAATTGAGCATTCAAGCGTATATCGAGATGTGTTTGTATTATGACAATGCTTAGGTTAGCTTTCAGTTTTCGTTTTGTAATTTTAAGGGCTTGCCAATGCCGTTTGTGTTGAGATTCTGTGGTTTTGTTAAATCTGTCGTATCTGAAAGCAAGTACTGAAAAATTAAATCTTAATCTGATCATAAAAATTTGTGGCAAACTGATACAAGAGAGCAGACAAACTTAACAAAATGGTAATTTGAACAATTTAAAATATACTTGCATATATTAAATGCAATCAAATTCATTAAATTAAATAATAATTACAAATTAACTAATAAGCTAATAAAAGTTACGGGCAACTGTCTGTGAAAAAGTATTGATATGGTATTGTTTTTAGAAATTAGGATGTTTTAGAGAATCGGAATAATCTAAGTTGAACACTTTTAACTGCTTTGTATGGCATAGGTGGACAAAGTAGCAGATTGGTCGCCTGGTGAACACCGCCGCCCATAGACACCTGCAAAGAAGCCCTAAGTACGGTCTGTGAAGCTGTGGTATCACTCCGGTCGAACCTGCCAATTTGTGCTATACCTCTGCCACGGTGATGGTATGAAAGTAGAAAACACTTAAATAAAAGCCTAGAATCTTATCTCCACCTCTAAATACAATAGAGTTACACTGAAAACGAATCTCAGTAAGGCATTAAGTTGACTACTTTTCTATTGCACCTCTTTCTAATGACATTGGCATTCAACCAAACGTAAGATGATGGTTCCGAAACGATCCACTTTAAAGATTTTTTTGGGGAAAACAGTCATAGTATTTTAAGTAAAATAAATCCTGATGCTAAATTACCTTGTGTCCCTCAGCTAACATTTATACTTGCATAGAATAATAATCGACTGTTATCTGGACTTAACTTTGCAAATATAGGTATAGTTACGAGTATATTAGGTTTTTTAACATCATATTATTTAGGCGAAATGTGGTATTCACAAAAATTTCAGTTACTTTCGACTAAGATAGAAAGACTACTTACTTGAACTATTGCCTGTGTCTGCCAGTTCAGGAGGGATAGATCTGCCTATTTTAAGATATGGTAATTTTATTGATTGTTGGTTTTATTAAAAAAATACCTTACAGATCAACTTTTTTTTTAAATATGTCTATTATTATTAATAAAAATAGTTGTATAATATTAAAAATAGCTTAGTGCTCACAACTTCTTCTTTTCATTCTACATCAACGCTAAATTTAGATTTGCACTTGAAAATAGCAACAAATCTATTTTAAGGAGTGGTTTCGAGAAGGTTCCATTAAGATACTAGTCATAGTAGTGTTTTGAAACTTATGCTATAAAATGATACTTAGAAAATCAAATTCTAAACATTTAATATTTTTGTATGTTAGAAACAGATAAACAAACGGTTGTCCGTTTATCTGTTTCTTTTGTGTGTGTTCTTCTTAACCTTTGTGGTTACGTAACACGAGCCTAGACAAGATACTGTAGTCTCAGTTCCAATTTCACATTCGAGATTTACATTATTATAGGAGAGGACTTTTCCGTTTTCAACTTTTCTTTCTTTATTCTTTCCCAGGGTGGGTTGGTGCCAGGCAGGCGGCTGACCATTAAAAAACCAGCCTAAATCTACTGAAATGTTACGCATTGCAAAGATCACAAGTAGAATTGGGAGCAGGGCAGGAAAATGACAATGATGATGATGTCAGAAAACATACTAAAAATCGTAATAAATAAAACGAACAAAGAGGTAATTCATGAAGTTGACTCAACCATTTACGTCTAGATCTATAATGAAACAAAGCGACAAATAAACAATTTATTTTTAGATTATTACATCAGTGTTTTTAATTATCAGTAAGACATGGAAACCTAACGGCCGATCGCATATTGTGGATATATACTGCTCGCAGGGTACTGCACATTACTAACAGGATATGAGACACTGTTAACAGGATACGTATTGGGATACGCTCCATATCCACTAAACCCATTCAATGATGTTCTGAAGTTGCCAGGATAGTTTGAATGCATACTGTCGGCGTATACATCAATCTGAAATTTATACCCTCTTAAAATGGATGGACTTTTTAATTTTATTGTCACTGATCTGCTTCCAATACCACCAGCCGCTACATAGGCTTCTCCTTCTTTATCAGATCTGAGATCAGTTACATACACAGCACTTATAAAATCATTATTTGGTGCGTTGATCAAAATATCATCTCTGCGTTTCCATAGCGCGGGGTCTGCCGTTTTGATAGCACTATAGATTTTTTTCGAATATGGCGTTGCGTGTCCTAGACTAACATCATTAGTTTCCACAACAATTGAAAAATAAAATAACACTAAAAATGTCACTAACCGTGAAAACATTTTTACAGTATATCTTTGGTACACCTTAATACTATGAACAGTAATATACAACTGAAGTTGTACTTGACACTAAAAGTAATTTTATAGAATAGGAGTTAGCACAAAATGACATCACAGTTTCTTATTTATACGACTCAATTGTTAGCTTATTACGTAAGGTGATAATGAAACCACGTGTCTTTAGACTAGGAACCGGTGTCTCATAAGTGTTCATAAGGTACATATTTCTATGGTATAATAAGTGTTCTTAGTATGTTTACGATCAAGTTCACAGAAATGGTGTGCTAACCTATAAATGTAAATTTATTAGATATAAAATAATAAATATCTACACTTCGATCTTGTTCGAGGCATTCATATCTTTTACGTTGCGAGGAATAGACGTATACACATATCAAGATGATTGTTAAATCTTTTTGTATATTCTTCATAGTTATAGTAGTAACGAATTGTAACGATTTATTTTTGGGGTATCCTGATGCGGCGTCAAAAATAATATATAGTAAAGTTCACGAACTGGATCCAGCTATTTGGATAAGGTCGGACACTTTTACGGTGAATTGTTCGAAGAGTGAAGTGATAAGTGCTATACAGATTATGGACCTAAGGCCCGACAAGTGGGGAGAGGCATATATCAAAGCAGGAGGTATCGGTCAAGATTATGTAACAATAGAACTCGACAGTCCAGGAGTATTCAGAGGTTACAATTTTTGGGTTGAGGTGTATGCGATAGACAAAAATCACTTTTTGTCGAGCCACGGTAAATAATTTCGATTTCAATATTGTAATTCAATTAATTTATTTTTGATATTTATATTAAAGTATTACAACTATATTTGAGTTTTCTTTTATTAAACATGTTTTGAATAAGAAGAATATATATTACGTGTTATTTTTGCTTTATAATTTTCAATAACAACTTGTGAGTCAACTAGTCTCAAGGTGTTCGTCATTAACTTTTATGTCATGATCAAGGTTATTATGATGGCAGGAAATTTTTATTGATCTATAATATATTTTGAGATTGAAACGTAAATATTAAATAATATAAAACATATACATTTATCTCATATTGAACGGGGCTAAGAATACTTGTAACAAAAGCACAAAGGATGATTTATGGTGTTTTCTCGCGGCATGTCTCCCGTTCATATCGAGATTTCTTCGCCAAAATAGAGATGTGTTATTCAGATATCGTGACTTCATATAACTCTGTAGCTTTTGTGTTTAGGCTCGTAACAATAAAATAAATGTATGTGGTAATATAAGAAATCGTTGTTTTGGTTGCAATGCTTTTTTATATAGTCGCATAGGGAGACGAAAGGGTTCCTTTATGTTTTTCAAGTGTCTTAAGTGTAGTGTTTTTCTCAGCTTTGTTGAGATTTTTTCCCTAATCGTCATTATTTTGATTTACGGTAATTATATTTGAATATATTCAATGAGTCCTGAAGTATTTTATGGATATTATTCTTTTTGTTTCTGTTGTTCTTCAAAAGGAAAAAGGAACCATCACAGATTAACTTGCTTGTCCATCTGTCTAACCATCAAGATCTTTTTCTCAGGAACTCATATTGCGTTAAACTCAACATCAAATAGTTATAACTATGGTCCCTTGATCTTGTATACTCGTAATTAAGCGTCTAGGCCAGCGTAATTATAAAGATATGGCGATTTAATCCTTGTACAGACCAATTTTAATACTTCCCATTGACCTCGAGTCATAAAAATTTGTGAGTAGCGAGGTCTCAAACTACAAGTGAAGGAAAAATCGAAGGTCTTTACTTTGTTGCCATAGCATATTTTTCCGCTAACAAACTTATATTTTCCTGTTAAAAATGAGTCTGTGGTGTAAGTACATAGATGAACAGGTACTATTTTTATAACTTTATATTTGCTTTTCCACAAAAATAACGGGTAATAGTCTTTGATAATTGATTACCGATACAGATAAGCTATCGGAATATTAAGCCTGTACGGAGCACTCGGTATACTAGTTAGAGCCGCATTTGTCTGTTTATTTATAACACACAATTTTACATGTAAGCTGACAACGATGTCTTAAACAATAACGTTAAAGTGTATTTTTGTTGTACTCTTAGAAGAAGTAAGCCGAGGTCGTCACAGCTCAACTAACACAAATGCTGTCAACCCTAATCACAGAAGGAAAAAAGAACACTATACTAATAGAGTTTCCTAGATTCATTTTCGATTTAATTATGATGCATAATATATCTTTTGATGTTAAGTTTGGGACAATCTAAATTAGATTTAAATTATTTACTATGCAGCTATTTCATAGGTAGTTTCTTGTATTTATACAAATTACTGACCAGTCCGAGTTAATATATGCTACTCCCTCTGGATCGCATTTAACGGAGATTGACTCAAATTGTCAATTGACACATAAGATACTTTTTGCCTCGCACAACCAATCTGAGGAACCAATTGGAGCCTGTATTATTTTCGTATCAAAATAAATTCCAGACTTTTAAGAAAGAGCTTTTACTCCCACCTTAGAGACCGTCAACGCACTTGTAACTCCTAAATGAAAACCGCCCATGAGCGACGGTACTCACTGTAGATCAGGTGACCCATCTGCCCGTTTTCCTTTATATATAAAAATAAAGATGTATTACAACTTCTGCAAAAATATAAAAAAAACACATATACGCGCGGAGAAGTGGTGTTCATCATCAACAGCCTTTAACAGTCCACTGGGCTAGTATACCACGCTGGCCAGACGGGTTGGTACAGGGTTTTTTTCAAGTTTTCCTTCTCTTTGCAGTCCTGTTGTCCTGCGTAGTTTGGTCTCTAGGACCCACAGGATGAATAGGGGTGGAAACGCTCCGTATTTTTAAACCGTTGCCACACGGAATTAGCGTTTTTTTATCGAATGAGAAACATTTTTGTAGTATCAATTGAGACGACCGCGTTTAGATACAAAGGTTTAGTGACGAGTATATTACGATAGCTCTAAAACACAACGTGCAATGAGATAGCAGCGTTCGATGCATTTGTAAAATTAAGTCCTAAGCACCACATTAACTAAGATTAAAGCACAAACAACCTATATACCTATAGAGAGATATTAATACCATATCTCGAGCTCAAATTAAACGTTGTTCATAACAGACTTGGTGCAAAGACAAACATTGCAAATAGATTTCAAAGAAATTATAAGACTTTATCTTTGTTGTCTTTAGTGTGTAACTGATTTTTATTTTATGGGAAAATCCAATTAATCGTTAATGATACCTCCAATAAAAATACTTAAACTACTTACTTACTTACGCATCTGCGCAAAGTAGGCAAATAGTGTTACCCTACTACAACTGACATATCTACCTTAGTTTTAAAAGTAGATGCATTTCCAGAAAAAGTATGCATATGTGTATTCGTCTTTGTAGGTACTTTTAAATAGCACTATTAAGTGTTATTTTATATTTGTGAATGCTTAGTTCATGGCTTCATTGTACATGTGCACCTGCTATGTCCCTTACTGAACCATCTAAAGGTTGATTGGTAGATAATGTCATGTGGCAATAAGTCCGCCTCGTGCAAAATGTAATGCAGGAAGTGTAAAATAAATAAATAAAATCTTTTCCTCATGTTCAGTTGGATAGCAGACCATATTATAATTATATCGTGTGCATATGATGACAAGGAAAAATAAGAACAATAGCAATTGCATGCAGAATATATTATATGAATAAATCAATAAGATTTGTATAGTGGCAGATGTCCAATAGTAGTGTAACAGCTTCATATAATTCCTAAACCAAAATGAACTCTTTTGAGTAATATTTTTTATTCTTACTGAAGTCAAGGGATTGCCAAGCGGTCTTGCCCGACGGGGGGTGGCCCCGTGGCTGCAATATCACAATGTTGTAATATAAAAATGTTTTCACTATTCCCCACTGTTTTGGATGTTAATTCGTTTTTCGAATCTATCTTATTCTTATTTATTGTTGGGTTATAGCCAAGTGTGTTTGTGTTTAGGCGTCGCAAGGCCATGTTTTAATCTTACTTAAGTTTTGTTAATCTTTTCTCGTTACATATTCTTCTCTTCATCAAAAGATAAATTAAGTTTTATAATTATCTTCAATTTTTTAGTCAATAGGAATCGATGTTGGCTGGTATTGTTGTGGTAAGGTGAAATGTTCCAGAAGAGATAATGATAATATAAAGATTCATTAATCATGTGCAGGAATGCTTTTATATCAGGTAATATAACACTGATATCGAAGGGGATATACCCCTTGGCTTTCGACATCAGAGTGGACGTTTAGTACACTCGTGTACTAAACCTGATACGTGGCATCAAATATGTGAACAATTTAGCACAACCTTTTAGAACATCAAATAGGATGGATATGTGAACATAGACATCCAAATATTTGCGTTGCGCCTCTCAATATTTGACATCAGTTTTGTCACAAACGACAGTATTACCAGCATTAGTCAGTACTAATATCAGTGTATTACTAATGCTTTCAAATGCATGATAATGTTCAGTTTAGATATGGTTATTATTGCTACTCTTAAATCATATTCATTTGATGGAATTATTGGTTTTAGTCACAGCGATTTCACATGGGATTGTGATTTCGTCATGGACGAAAATAAGTATCATTAAAATCAATCTAAATTATTTTTATCAAAAATTACGACTTTTTTTTTCGCGAGTCTTGCTAGCGTATTCATAATAATTAAGTAGCAGAAATGATTTTTTAATAATAAGATTTATCTAATGTGATTGTGATATTATTCCATCCCTAATTAAGTTATTACAAATGATATGATAATGATAACAATAATAGTAATAAATCTTAATTGTAAGTGAATACCACCGCCCGTGGACTCCTGCGACCGACTCAAGAAATACAAGTGCCTTGCACCTTTTTTATTCCCCCTCGCAGTTAAGGGGGGAGTGGGAGGACTCTTGAGTAACTTCCTTGCTTAACACGGGTTTCTGTGAAGCAGTGGTATCTCTCCGGTCAAGTCAGCTCATATGTGCAGAAATATGTCTCTCTAATAGCAGAATAGTAGAGTACAACATATTTGAAATACAAAATCACTCTGGCCATGACCTTTTTAAGCATCTTAAATTGCTAAGCTAAAGAAATTAATTATATTTACTATTAAGGATTTTTGCGCAGTCCGGCAACATCGTTTAGTCACTTTTAATTACCAAAATAAATGTTTTCGGCTGGTCCTACCTAAATACAAAAATATTTACTCCGAGTGTCGCAATCAGCCTAATAAGGATCGCCAACATTGAGTGCGCAGACATAAATCATCCAAACACACACTGAATGAAGTCGTGAGAGTGAAAAATAACTATAACACAAAGCCATTAGATTTATGATGTTTGTTGTTGACGAATGGCGCCTATGGCGGTCGGTGAGTCGGCTGAATTACGTAAAGCCGGTTGGGTTTATTAGACAAATCGACTGTCACGAAGAGATGTAGGTTTTTCAGAGCATGGGTTTTTTTTCTCTTTTTAAATTCATAATGTGTCAAAAAAAAAGGCACACAAATCCCCTCATGGTGTGTTTGCCGCACTTCTTTTTCAAGGCTAAAAGTTGTATGTATGTTTAACCTATGTATAGTGTTCAATATTTAAATTGTTGGGTTAGACAAATACTGTGTGATGAACATGATCATTTGTTTCTGGGTCTGGGTATGAACTTAGATACTAGAGAGAGATTATTATTTAAAGAAATATAATTATGTTTATTTAGAAATATGTGTGAGTGGTTGACGGC